AACCCTAAGGACTCCCGCCGCGGGGTCCACGTGGACCCTGGGCCGCGGCGGGACAGAAGCCAGTTCCCGCGCGTGGGGGAGGGGCGTTGCAACAGGGTTACCCCTTTTTCTGCAGCTCTAAGCCTGGGGAAGTGATTGCTCAAAGGGGGGCCGGAAGAACCCAGGTTTCCGCGTCTCCCGCCCCCACCTCAGCCTGGTGGGGAGGGCCCTAGGCGGGACAGCGGGTCTGCCCCCGCCCCCACCCCGTTGGATCTGGCAGCCGCTCAGCCCTGCGAGTCGTAGTGGAGGCGCTGCGCCCCCAGCCCAAGCCGATCGGGGGCTCCTGGCACCAGCCTCGCTCTAGAACGTGCAGGAGGACCTCCTGCCGTCTGACCCGAGTCCTGCTGCTGCAGTGCACGCCCCTTCGGCAGAGCCAGGGTGGGGCCCAGAGCGAACCTGGCCCCTCCCGCCCCCACCTCGCCTTTGGGTCGCTGGTGAGTGGGTCGCGTGGGGAGTTCCTTGAGGTAGGGGTGGGAGCGTCAAGGCTGGAGGAAGGGACCCTGAAGAAGGAGGCAGACTTCTCCAGGCCAGACCCTACCAGCAGAGAGAGAGAGAGGAGTGAGTTGCCGCCACCATTGCAGAGGTGGGCTGGGGCGAGGGTCACCAGGGCTGGGAAGACCTGTCCTGCCTTGGAGGAGCCAGGCTGGGAGTCTCCCACTAGCCAAATGAGGGGGGCAGCAAATAGAAAAGGTACTGAGTCGGATGAGAAGAAAGGAATGGAGCCCCTCTGTCAACCTCCCTCCCAAAGGTTATGGCATTTTTTCCTGGGATTGTCACATATTCTTATTCTTTTTTTGGACTGGGCGGGCTCGGGGACGTTCTTTTTCCTTCTGTGGAGCAGAGCAGCAGCCGCTCCCGAGGGAGCCTCTGTCCCCAGAGGCCAGACTTGCCTCCTATCCAGCTTCTCCCATCCCAGACTTAAGGGCTGGGGAAGGGGAGGGAGTCCCCTGTCGAATGCCAGGATGAGAGGAAAGGAAACTTAATTCAGACCCTGTACCTCCACCAGGAAAGAGAGCAGGTGCCCCGGGGGCACAGGTGGCCCCAACCAGCCTGAGGAGGGTGCAGGGAGCTGGGTCCAGGGATGGGCGACCAGATCCAGGGCCTGTAACCAGGACAGAAGGGACTGCCTCCCCGCCCCAGACTTGGCCCCTAGCACCTCAGCTCTGCGCACTCAGACAGGTCCCTCCTCCAATTCAGAGCTGAGTTGGAGAAGGCAGCCTTGAGGAGGTATAGTCTTCAGGGTGCTAGAGGGTGAGGGAGGGGATTGGGGCCCTGCCCCGACTGACAGTGGGTGGGGGTGCAGAGGAGGAAGAGCTGCTCTGCCTGGGGAAGTCACAGCCTGTCTGGGGTACAGCTGCCAGACCTCAGAGGTTGCCACACCCCTTCCTTTCCCTAGAAACTTGACCCCTGAGGGAACGCATGCTGTGGGGCTACTGCTTCCCCCACCTGTTTGTTGGAAGCCGATGGGACCCAGTTTGAGGGTCCCGCCACCATGATCTCAGGGGAAGCCAAGCAGGTGGTGAGGGGCCAAGGCCCCATGGGACCCTACACCTTGCCCCTAGATTCGGGTCAGGGCAGGGGCCTCTGGAGGCAGTGGTGCCCTCAGTGTGCATAACTCGGGCGGTCACCTCTGAGCACCGCACCTGGCCAGGAGCTGGAACGCAGGCGCTGCCTAGCCTGGTGACTGCCTAGGGCATCCACCCTCCTCTCCTGCCATCAGAGACTACGAGAGGCCAATATGGACCGAACAGACATTCAAAGGCCAAAAGCAGAGGGATAGCGGGTCAGCAGGGCGGATGATAATTAAATGAGAAAATAAAGTGAAACCAAGTCGTGAATCTCTTGGCTGCCAGACCGGCAGTGGGTTTTCAGGAAGGCCCGTGCTGCAGACATGCAGGGGGGCGCCCCAGGCCCTGTGGGCCCTCACCTGGGCGGAGGAGGGCACCGGCAGAGGCGAAGGTGGGGAGGTATTCAAAACTGCCTCCCGGACACTGATTGGCCACCCCGTGCATCGCCCGCGCTTCGCCCGCGCGCACTTTGTTATGAGGGTTCCAGGCCGGAGCTGCTCAGCCGGCTGGGACTTCGGCGTCCCCCATACCCCTGCACCACTGGGAAGGTACGCTCAGACGGCGAGCAGAAGGGACCCAGCGGCTCAGACCTGGGAGCAGGACGCACCCCCGCCCCCGCTGCCGCCTGCTTCCCCGCCTGGCGCGCCCGCCCTGCGGCGAGGCCTCGGGCCCGCAGTGGTTTCCGCAGCCTGGTGGGGGGAGGGGGGAGGGAGGCCGGGAGACCCTGGGCGCGGTAGGGTGCCAGCCAAGGGTAGGGGTACCAAGAGCGGAGTCTGGGACTAAGAAGTCAGCAGTCCCTGGCAGCTCCTGGTCCTCCTCACCCATGCCCTGTTGCACTTCCCACCCCCTCAGGACATCCCGCCCCACGTCCTAGTCAAATCCTCCATGCTGCAGGCCTAGGCCGCTGCCCTGCTGAGTCCCCATGAGCAGGTGGGAATTCTCTGGGGCCAGGAGGCCAATCTGGCCTCCTGGTCAGGGGCAGCCCTACCCACAGAAAACCTGGGATGGAGGAAGCTGGGTTAGGTGGTGTCTAAAGGTCTGACCATCACCCTGTGCACCAACCTGACAGCCCCAGACTCTTGCAGGCCCCCAGCCCCCTTGGGAGGGGCCAGGAGCCGGAAACCAAGAAAGAGGAACCCAGGCTTCCGGCTTCCCAGGGACTGAGCAGATGGGGGTGTCCCAGAACCTCCTACGGAGATCTTGTCTGGGGCCCCCTCCTTCCTGACCCTGCACCCCTTCACAGCCCTGGTGTAGGCTGGGGTGGGGGGTTGGAGCCTGGGCAGAGTGGTCTGGAGGTGGGGGGCTGGCAGGGGCCAGTGTCCAGTTCTCAGTGAGAACCCACCCTCTCTTCTCAGACCCCCAGGCTGTGGTGAGGGTCCTGGAGCAGCCACCACGGAGCCCCAAAGACCTCCTCCCATCCATGCCCACCCCGCATGAGGCTGAGAAGCAGGTGCGCCCCCCCTGCCCCCTCGGAGGAACTTGGAGGGGGCATGACAGGGAGTTGGGAGATCCTCAAACACCTGGGAGGCCAGAAGGCCATGTTTCTGGGAACGAGCGTCACCACCAGCGGGCAGTCTGGTGGGGAGAGGCGTGTGGTTCTGACAGGTTCTGGCCTGGAGGCTGAGGCAGCCCCATCTTCCCCCAGCACGTAGGACCAGAGGAGGCGGACCAGCCCCCCTCAATGTCCAGTCATGATGCGGCCCCCCCGGCTCCCCCAAGACGCAACCCTTGCTGCTTGTGCTGGTGCTGCTGCTGCAGCTGCTCCTGGTACGTGGGCCTGGGGATGCACGCAGTGCCTGGGGGGGGAGGGGTGGGCTGAGCAGACCTGGGGCCCAGGATCCCACTTCCCAGCCCCTCAAGTGGCTTTTGAGGTGTCACCTGCAGGTGGGACACCCTGCCATCCACAGCATTTATCCAGCATCCTGGTGACCAGCAGCCTGTGCCCAGGCCCCTGTGTGTGTGTGACTTTCATGCCTGGTGTGTTCAAGGATGTGTCCACGTGCAGGCACCTGGCCAGCATGTGTGTGCGCACGTGTGCGCGTGTGCACACGCAGCATAAGCCAGCCCAGGCTGACTCTGGGAACCTACAGCAGGCGTAGACAGAAGGACGTCCTACAAACTGTGTCAGGTGGGGTCGCTTCTAGCAGAGATGTGGCCCTGGGAGAGAACAGGTGGTGGGTATGGGGTGTCTAGCGGGTAACTGGTTTCTAGGCATGTAGGGAACCTGTGGGTTTTTGGTTCATTGTGGAGGCCTGGCCCTTTTCAGGCCTCCAGCCTTTGCTGTTGAGCAGACAGCGCTGAGGGGCCCCAAAGAGGGGGTCAGCTGACCAGCGAGCAACCGAGGCCTGAGCCCAGGCCTAAAACAGGAGAGGGGTGGCCTGGGGTACAGCCGGGAGGCTGTGAAGAGTCAGGACTCATTGAGAGTTTAGCTGTGGGCAGTATGAGGTCTGGCAGGCAGTAGGGTAGGGACAGAGTTCTGTCTGGACCTTTGGGTTTGAGTTGTCAGCCATCCTAGTGGCCCTGGAGAGAGGTCCAGCTGGAGGTATGGATTTGGGAGC